GGCTGGATTCGAACCCACCACCTTAGGTGTATGTGGCTGGCACCTTAGCCACTAGAGCCACAGGTGCCAAGCCAAGACTCTGTCTCAAAAAAAAAAGAAAAAAGAAAAAAAGATATATGAGCAACACTCAATATTGTCAAATTTGAATATTACTGAAAAATAGTTTTAAATTGTAAAGTATTAAATAATTTTAAAGTCTAGAATATTCTAATGTCTAATGATAATTAGACATAATGTTTAATGGTAATGACTATTAAGATTCTCATGTTTTTCCTTAGTCTTTTAAAGTCATATATTTACATGATTTGGATTATACTGATTACATATATAATTTTGTGCTCTGCTGGCTTTTCAACTCAGCAATATAATCTAAATATTAGGTTCCCACATAGGACTGATTGCATTGCAACTCTTCTTTTTTTTCTGATGATTAATTTTATATGTCAGTCATCCTATTTGTTTTCTAGTTCCTAGCAGTGTCTTGCATTTCATAAACACTAAATTGAATTGCATTTGTGGGAATACTCTGGTAACCCAGTGTCTTTAAAGAAATTAAGAGTCCCTGTTACAGCTGCATAGTTACACAGCTATGCAGTGTGGTTGATACTAAATACAAGTGGTATCTCTCGTTTTTGTCCCTAATCTTTTCCAGGAATACAGGGTAGCCATAAAGTTCATGTGCAATTTAAAATAGTTGTCTATTTAAAAGTTGTCTTTATGGCCGCCCTGTGTATTTATCCAATTTGTGGGGCTAGCGCTGCCACCTAATGTTATGATGCAGAAATGCAGAGAACTTGTAAATTAAAGGCCTAGTCAGAAATTTGAATACCGTTTGCTGGCAAGAGAATTGAAACTTTTTTCACTTTTTTTTTTTTAAATTGTTGTTGGTTTTTAAATTGAGGTATAATTCACCTATAGCAAACTTCACCCATTAAAGTATTCGATTTTATGACTATGGACATATGTAAACATCCCAAACTGGTACCACAATCAGGATGCAGAACATTTCCTAGGTACCCACCAAAGTTTCTTCATCCTCCATGGCAGTCACTTCTTCTCCTCTGGGCAAGGCAACCACATTTGCTTTCTGTAACTATAAGCTACTTCTCATTTTCTAGAATTTCATGTAAATTACACAGTCTCTCCTCCTTCATGTCTGACTTCTTTCACTTAGCTTAATGACTTTGAGATTCATCCATGGATCAGTAGCTTGTTCCTTTTTCCTGCAGAGTGATATTCCATTTCATGGATATAGCACAGTTTGTTTACTCATTCACCTGTTAAGGGACACTTGGACAGTGTCCACTTTGCAGCTATTGTGAATAAAGGTACTATGAACATTCATGTACCAGCCTTCCTGTGGATGTAAGTTGATCATTGATATTTTAATAATATGCAGGTGATGAACCCTGACTTTAAAAATAAACTACCAAAAATGTCAGCCTAATTAAGTAGATAATAGAACAATAGCTCTTTATAGCTGTTACAAGTTTGCTTTGTTTTGTTTTGTTTCTGAGATGGGGTCTTGTACTGTTGCCTGCCTGAGGATGCAGTGGTGTCATCATAGCTCACTGCAACCTCAAACTCCTGGGCTCAAGCGATCCTCCTGCCTCAGCTTCTTGAGCAGCTGGGACCACATGCACCTGCCAACACTCCTGGCTAATTTTTCTACTTTTTGTAGAGATAGGGGTCTCACTCTTGCTCAGGTTGGTCTTGAACTCATGGCCTCAAGCAATCCTCCTGACTCCGCATCCAAAGTGCTAGGATTACAGGGGTGAACCACCACCCCTAACCAGCTATTATAATGTAAATATCTTCTCTTACATACATGAAGCTTACTGGAAAGCACTTTATTTATTTATTTTACAGACAGAGTCTCACTTTATCTCCCTTGGTAGAGTGCTGTGGCGTCACACAGCTCACAGCTCACAACAACTTCCAACTCCTGGGCTTAGGCAATTCTCTTGCCTCAGCCTCCCAAGTAGGTAGGACTACAGGTGCCCACCACAGCTCCTAGCTATTTTTTGTAGCAGGTTTGAACCTGCCACCCTCGGTATATGTGGCCAGCGCCCTACCCACTGAGCCAGAGCCGCTGCCCCTGGAAAGCACTTTAAACCTTGTGGCAGAGAACTAGTTTTATTACCTCTATGCACTTTTTGTATATCAGTCAATATAAAAATCAGTCAACTATATTATTTTAAATTAAAAATGCACATTTTTCTGGAATCTAAACTGGACACTAACAAAGATTCAATATTAAGTAGTTTTATTATAAAATGATAATTTATTATGCTAATCACCATAGCACCACCACTATTGCCATTATTACATAATTGTTATATAATAACCTTTACCATATATAAGCTTAACACATAATAGATGCTTAGTAAATGCTGAAGAGAAAGAAAGCAATATCTCTCTTTGGGGCCCAGTCAGTTTTAAATAGATTATATTTCATCTTTTACCAACAAATCCCTTTTATATTTAACCTACCCTCCCATGCTGAGAGTGGAAATCAAGGGCAGAGAAAACTACATGTTTTTTCATGCACTGAGGGGTCGGGGTGGGGGTAGACCTGTTATCATGAGTAAGGAAAATGTTCTGGGAGGTGAAAGATGAAACATAAAGGAATTCAGGTGTACTTTTGTGTCCTACACCACATGGAAATATAATAGGCCTGTACTGATTCTATCACGTGTTACTAGCAGGAGTGAAATGAATTGCATGATCTTAATTTGGTGATTAACTTTCTTGATCAATCACTTCCCTTCAACTCTAGTTTGGAACCCATTTCCAGCATCCTTTTCTCATAGTTTCCCTTCTGGGTAGAAAGGACTTTGCCGGGGCAGTTTTTCAAGCCGGCAGGTTGACAGCTGCTCTGGACAGCTGTGCCCCTTGAGGCAGAACCCTCACTGCATCCCCAGCAATGCAAACCAGAGACAAATGGGTTAAAAATAATCCTGACAAAATCGCCTTCCTGCCTGTCACTATTGAATTCTGCAGATATTATCTTCCTTAATTTTAATTACATATTTCCCTTTTCTCCTACTGATTTCATCTTTTCTCTCTCTCTCTTTTTGTCTTTGAATTTAAACTACTGACTTTGCTTGTGTTTCTTTATGTACAAGTCTTTTTTTTTTTTCTTTTGAGACAGAGTCTCGCTTTGTCACTCTTGGTAGAGTGCTGTGGCATCACAGCTCACAGCAACCTCAAACTCTTGGGCTTAGGTGATTCTCTTGCCGCAGCCTCTCAAGTAGCTGGGACTACAGGCGCCCGCCACAACTCCTGGCTATTTTTAGAGACGGGGTCTCGCTCTTGCTCAGGCTGCTCTCAAACCTGTGAGCTCAGGTAATCCACCCACCTCGGCCTCTCAGAGTGCTAGGATTACAGGCATGAGCCATCACGCCCAGCCTATGTACAAGTTTTTCCACTGGACCCTTTGCTACAACCTATACTACATATTAGTTTTCAAATTTTCACTGGACCAAAAGGACATTTGACATTGCATACCCTCAAGAAAATTTTCTGAAGAATATTTAATCTATCATTAAAATACTTACTCTGTAGGTAAATTCCTTTTTATTTTTTCTTATTTTATAGCCCATTTACTTTTAGAGAATGTAGTGTGAATTTGTTGTTAAATAATTAAATTCAGGTAAAGTATATGTATTAGGTATGATTGCCTACATCTGTAGTGATTATAAACATAGGAATAGAATAAATTCTATAATAATGACATATTATAAACTGCATATGAAGACATTGTGAAAATCTTGTAGAATCCACATTTAAGAAGTAAGTTAAGCCATAGCTGAACAAATGGAAAGATTAATTAACCAGTAAAAATGCCATTGAGATTATACCACGAAATAACTTCCTTGAATGAATTTTCCTCCTCATAATAGATACAACAATGGTGATTTTCAAGCAATGCATTTAGACCATTTGGCATCTTAAAAGGTCCATATTTTCTTACAGTAACATCTCCCTAGAAGAGTTTGTCTCCAAGTGGTTGCCTTATTGAGTATTTACAAAATTATTCTGAAAATTACCACTACTGTTCTTAGTATAGTATTGGTATTACCCTTTCGTGATTTGAATCTCTAAAGATTTGCTATGTTAATATGATTACTATAAACTAGTTCTGACTGTGGTGCAAATCTCGGGACGAGTCAGTGCATCGTGCATGATATTTATTTTGCAACATGAAAAAGAAAGAAACTGAGAGAAACACGGAACAGAGAGGATTCAGCTGAGGGTATGTGAGATGTGACTAGAAGACAATGAGGCAGAGCTAGAAAAAGAAATGTACACACTGAGTAAGTAGATCTCGTGAGTCAGAGAGTGGTTAGTGAGAAAGGGAAAGCTACCAATCTCATTCCTCAGATTTTTCCCAGAAAAAAAAAAAAAGCCAATGCGAGCACCCATGAAGAGACTATGTCTTACCTGTCCATAGCGGTTTCCAGAGTGTCTTTCTGGGTTCCCTGAAAGTCTTAGGCCAAAGAAACCTTGCTTCACTCAACGCTTCTTCACTGCCTGTGTCTGACAGTGCATTGGCCCCTCACATTCAAATCTGGGCTTGCTTTCTGGGGCTCCTCCCCCAACAGCATCACCACCACCAGGTACCCCAATAGTCTTGCTTCTGATTTAGGTTCAGTGAAGGTGGGCGGGGTTGTCAAAGGCAGGGTCACATGAGTTAAAGGATGGAGGGGAGCTCTGCTTAAGGTGCAGGTTTTCTTAGGGCTACAGCTTTATTTTTTTTTATATATTTTTTTGCAGTTTTTGGCTGGGGCTGGGTTTGAACCTGCCACTTTTGGCATATGGGGCTGGCACCCTACTCTTTTGAGCCACAGGCACCACCCAGGGCTACAGCTTTAAATATCCAGTCCATGCTCCATACGAAGCAAAGATCGAGAGGCAATAACCCCTTAAACTATAATCATGATAGCATACACTGCCTTAAACTAAAAGCATAAAAATTTGGATGGACTCGGAGAATATTCTCCTAAGTATCACAGGAATGGAAAAATAAGCATCACATATGCTTAATCCTAAATTGAAACTAGTAGATTAACAACTAAGTGATCACTTGAGAGAAAAACTCAATTAAATTCAAGAAGTGACCAGGAGGAGAGAGGGTTCGGCAAGTTTCCATCCAAAGGGAACAATGCCTGGGTGTGTGGCTCACTTCTTGGGGGAAGGAAACAACTACCACGAAATCGGTACCTTACAAAGGCAAACAATAGGTAGCGCCTGTAGCTCAAGCAGCTAAGATGCCGCCACATACAGTAGAGCTGGTGGGTTCAAATCCCGCCCCGGCCTGCCAAAAAATGCCAACCAACCAAAAAATACCCCCATTGTGGTGGGCCCCTGTAGACCCAACTACTTGGGAGGCTGAGGCAAGAGAATCGCTTAAGCCCAGGAGTTGGAGGTTGCCGTGAGCTATGACGTCATAGCACTCTACCCAGGGTGATAACTTGAGGCTCTGTCTCAAAAAAAAATTAAAATTAAAATTAAAAAAAAAAGGTAAACAATGTAACCTAACCATATGTACCCTTATTCTGACGTTTTAAAAAAGCATAATAATAATATTATAGTAGCATTTATTTAAATAGTATTAAATATCATTTAAGTAGCATCTTGTGTTCTGTGAGCTAAAAATATCTGTTTCATCATTTAATGACAGAGTATCTCTGCACTTCAATAGAGACAGGCTCTAACAGCTCCCACTTTGTGGCTGAGTAAATAAACTCAGTTATATAGAACTTAGTACCAGAAAAAAAATTTTTTTGAGACAGAGCCTCAAGCTGTCGCCCTGGGTAGAGTGCCATGGCATCATAGCTCACAGCAACCTCCAACTCCTAGGCTCAAGCGATGCTCCTGCTTCAGCCTCCCAAGTAGCTGGGACTACGGGTGCCTGTCACAATACCTGGCTATTTTTTTGTTGCAGTTGTCACTGTTGTTTTAGCTGGCCCAGGCCAGGTTCTAACCGTCCAGCCTTGGTGTATGTGGCCAGCGCTCTACCCACTGAGCTACAGGCACCACCCATAAATTCTTTTTTTTTCTCTCTTTGTCACCCTGGGTAGAGTGCCATAGCATCATAGCTGACAGCAACCTCAAACTCGGGCTTGAGTGAGTCTCTTGCCTCATCCTCCCAAGTAGCTAGGAGTACAGGTGCCTGCCATAACACTGGGCTATTTTTAGAGATCCTGCTCTCTCTTGCTCAGGCTGGTTTCGAACTCCTGATCTCAAGCATTCCACCTACCTCAGCCTCCTAGAGTGTTGGGATTGCAAGCATAAGTCACCTCATCCAGCCTAGGACCCAGAAATTTTAACTCTCAAATCACTGTTTTGTTTTGTTATTTTGAGACAGAGCCTCAAGCTGTCACCCTGGGTAGAGTGCCATGGCATCACTGCTCACAGCAGCCTCCAACTCCTGGGCTCAAGTGGTTCTCCTGCCTCTGGCTCCCAAGTAGCAGGGGACTACAGGAGCCCGCCACAACACCTGGCTGTCATTGTCATTTGGCAGGCCACAGCTAGATTCGAACCCGCCAGCTCAGGTGTATGTGGCCAGTACATTAGCTGTCTGAGCCACAGGCGCGAAGCCAAACCACTGATTTTTTTTTTCTTTCTGACTACAAGAGTTGCTAGAAGACTTGGTGTTTACACTATAGAGTAATTTTTGCATGAGCCATCATTTTTATTAAAAAACTCTTTGAAAGAAAACCAGGAAAAATACAAAAAATATTTTGAAAGAAAAAAAAGTCTTTAAACCCAGTGTGGTGGCGCATGCCTGTAACCACAGCAACTGGGGAGGTTGAGGCAGGAGGGTCCCTAAAGGCCAGGAGTTTGGGACTAGACTAGTCAATACAGTGGAACCCCATCTCTCTTTATTTATTTATTTATTTAAATTGAGACAGAGTCTCACTTTGTCCCCCTTTGTAGAGTGC